AAGAAATCCAACATTCAGCCAGTGGAATTAGAAAACAAGCGCACAGAAACAAGACAAACACTCTCTCAAGCAGGGCAGCACGCTCCAGATTCACAGCTAAGGGGGACGTCCAGCACTAGGCACATCGTGAGCAGAACGATCACGCATGCAGTAACCCTAAAAGCTTAGTGGGAATAACACAAAGAATGAAGTCTCAGTCTGGACTTCACCAGCTGCGATGGAGACAGGGGAAGACACTGGGCTGTGACAACACAACTTCCAACCTGGGACTCCATGCCTAGCTGCTAAGGTCCTAATATGATTTGGCTTCCAAACTTAAGCAGAACTTTATTTTTTATTATTATTATTCATTTTATCTGAAAGGCAAAGAGAGATCTTCCAACCACTGTCTCACCTGCCAAATATCTGCCAAGGGCTGAGGCCGGACCAAGCCAAAGCCAGAAACTCAGCATTCAATCTAGTTTCCCACACAGGTGGCAGAGACCCAAGTACATCACCTACTGCCTCTCAGGGTGTGCACGAGCAGGAAGCAGACCCGGCAAGAACCATACACCCAATATGGCACAAAGCAGCATCCTGACATCTTGACCACTGCCAAAGGCCAACCCCCTCCGGCAGGACTTTAAACCCCACCGTCATAAATTAATGGCACTAAGAGGGTAGAAACTTAATCTAGTTATGATGTTTAGGAGTAAGGCCTAGTGGGAGGTGCTTAGTTCATCAGGGGCATGCTCTTCTGAAGGTAATTCTCACTAGAGGTTTATTAGAAAAGACATAGTTGGCCCCAGTGCTCCCATCCCAGCTACTTCCTGGCTTGCCATGTGACCCTGGTACCACTGCTATTCAACACCACCATCAGAGGCCAAACCAACAGACGCAGTCAATCCTGGATTTTTTTTTTTTTTAATTTTTGACAGGTAGAGTGGACAGTGAGAGAGAGAGACAGAGAGAAAGGTCTTCCTTTGCCGTTGGTTCACCCTCCAGTGGCCGCCGCGGCCGGCATGCTGCGGCCGGCGCACCACGCTGATCCGATGGCAGGAGCCAGGTACTTATCCTGGTCTCCCATGGGGTGCAGGGCCCAAGCACTTGGGCCATCCTCCACTGCACTCCCTGGCCACAGCAGAGAGCTGGGCTGGAAGAGGGGCACCGGGACAGAACCGGCGCCCTGACCGGGACTAGAACCCGGTGTGCCGGCACCGCGAGGCAGAGGATTAGCCTAGTGAGCCGCGGCACCGGCCTCAATCCTGGATTTAAACCTCCAAAACTAGAGCTAAGTAAAGCTTTTCTTCTAAGTTTCACTGAAGTAACAAAAAGTTTACTAATATGCTAGCCACACATTATCTTCAAATGTGATGGTAGAATAAATACACTTTCAGACATGCAAGCTATTCCCTATTCCTATTCCATGACAGCACCAGCTCCAGTTCTATGCTTTTCAGGGAATTGGTTCCATCACAAGGTAGGAAACAAACAAGGACCCACTATATAAAGGGAAAGGTGAAGAGAGTCCCCAAGATTCAGTCCACCAGGACAAGAAAGTATGCATTCAGACAAGAGCAGGGTAGATATAAGAAAAAGAATAACAGACCAGAGTGTGGCATAGTAGGCTAAGCTTTGGCCTGCAGTGCCAGCATCCCATATGGGTGCCAGTTTGTGTCCTGGCTGCTCTTCTTCCAGTCCAGCTCTCTGCTTGTGGCCTGGGAAAGCAGTGGAAGATGGTCAAAGTGCTTGGGTCCCTGCACCCACGTGGGAGACCCAGATGTAACTCCTGGCTCCTGGCCTAGGATGGGCTCAGCTCTGGCCACTGTAGCCATTTGGGGAGTGAACCAGTGAATGGAAGATCTCTTTCTCTCTTTCTCTCTCTCTCTCTCTCTACCTCTGAAATAAACAGTTTAAATCTTTAAAAAGAAAAAGAAACAAGAATAAAGTCTTCATCTACTATTAGTGGAAGTTCACAGATAACCCCTCAAACGAGGGAAAAGACATGACCACAAAAGCTTCTATCTGCAAACGTGCAGTAAATGATGGAACTGCAAGTGCCTGCTGCCTCTCTGGAAAGGTGTAGGGGAGAGGCTTTTTAAAACTTTTAGCACTGGCCGGCACCATGGCTCACTAGGCTAATCCTCCGCCTTGCGGCGCTGGCACTCCGGGTTCTAGTCCCGGTCGGGGTGCCGGATTCTGTCCCGGTTGCCCCTCTTCCAGGCCAGCTCTCTGCTGTGGCCAGGGAGTGCAGTGGAGGATGTCCCAAGTGCTTGGGCCCTGCACCCCATGGGAGACCAGGAGAAGCACCTGGCTCCCGGCTTCGGATCAGCGCAGCCCGCCAGCCACTCTACCTGTCAAAAATAAAAAAAAAAAAAAAAAAAAAAAACTTTTAGCACTAATTGACTTTTTAAATTATGTTCATATAGATATGTAAAAAATAAGATTAACAACAAGAAACACCATAGCCACTGTGCTAGAAAAGCATAGAATTGGAGCTGGCGCTGTCACATAGCAGTAAAGCTGTGGCCTGTGGCGCCAGCAGCCCATATGGGCACCAGTTCAAGTCCCAGCTGTTCCACTTCAATCCAGCTCCCTGCTAATGCTCCTGGGAAAGCAGAGAAAGGCCCAAGTGCTTAGGCCCCTGTATCAATGCGGAGACCCAGAAGAAGCTCCTGGTTCCTGGCTTTAGATAGGCCCAGCTCCAGCCCTTGTGGCTGTTTGGGGAATAAACCAGCTAACAGAAGATCCTCTCTGTCTCTCCCTCTCCCTGTCTGTAACTGTGCCTTTCAAATAAGTCTTAACAAAAAAAAGGCTAGCTCTGTGGCGTAGTGGGTTAACGCCCCGGTCTGAAGCACCAGCATCCCATATGGGTGCTGGCTGTAGTCTCCGCTGCTCCTCTTCTGATCCAGCTCTCTGCTATGGCTTGGGAAAGCAGTAGAAGATGGCCTAAGTCCTTGGGCCCCTGCACCCGGAGGAAGTTCTTGGCTCCTGATCAGCGCAGCTCCAGCCGTTGCAGCCAATTGAGGAGTGAACCATCAGATGGAAGACCTCTCTCTCTCTGCCTCTCCTCTCTCTCTGTAACTCTTTCAAATAAATAAATAAATCCTTAAAAAAAAAAAAAAAAAAAACAAGCAAACAAGCAAAGCATAGAATTTAGCTGGGAAGGACATTCTGCTCAGACAAAAGCCGTAAGTCAAGTAAGCATCATAGTCTCTGATCCTCAGTGAGTTTGGACATAAATTTAAACTCCAGGAGCCATCACTTACTAATAATCCACAAAATGGGGATGGGGGAGTCACTGCACTACTTCAGTAGTTGTCTTTCATGTGAAAAACGTGCCGACCATCTTTGAAGGACAAGATAGAAGATTAATATGCAATTAGGTAAGTTTCAAGTGTCAGCTCTGCTGGTTTAATCATTCAGCAAGTAATGATCCCTAACCCAGCTGCCATTTCCCAGATTTCGTGGCAACAGTGACCCCGTGATTACCCGCTGTCCAGGGAGCCCTTCACCCTAACCATGCACCTGCATACAATACACCTCAGAATCACCTAAACTGAACACCGCAGACACAACGAGTGCTTCGGAAACACAGGCTCTACAGGCAGGCCACGAGCTCTGCAATCCTGGGTCTCGCTGTCTGCCCACAGGGACGCAGAGGCGGGCAGCACCTGCCTCACAGGAGGGAATTCAGCACGGCACTTAGGGCAGGGAGGGACACTCACGGGCTGTCATTACCATCGGCTCTGCCAGGCCCTGAGGAGTCAGACAGCAGGGGCCACCCATCCGCTGCTCCTAGATCATGTAGTAAGGCCCTACTACGTGCCCAACCCTGGACACGGGCTAGCCAGACAACTGACCAGATAGAGTATTTAATCCCTTCCAAGTCCCGTTTCCATCGTCTGCTACACTGGAAATAACATTACAAGGCAGAGAAAAGTAAGGGGCCAGGCTTGTGCCTGGACGCAGCCGCGCTCCGTACGCGGTCTCCTTAACCGCTTCTCCCCGCGGAGCTGGAAGTGACTTGGGGCTCCGTTCCCTGAATGCCACAGGTACTCAACACACGCTCCTCGCACTGATTCTAGGAACTCCTCTGCACCTTCCCGGTCTACTTCCATCAACGCTCTCGGGCCAGAGAAGCACAGGGAAATAAGTGAAAAATCCCGAGCAGACGCACGCCGCCCAGTCTCCGCACCAGGCTACGGGAACCCCTCCTTACCACACCTGAACTCCCTCATCTTCAGGGTCCCGACAGCTCCTCCTCGCTCGCCTCGTTCCGGGGGGAACCTGCTCGGGCTGTCCCCTCCCTGCACGCCCGCACCCCTCTCCCCGCCTCGCCGTCGCGAGGAAACAAAGTATCGGCCGGCACCCGCAGGGGCAGGCGGGGACCACCAACAAAAGAACGCGAACTCCGTGCGCCCGGAGCCCTCGGCAGCGACCGGCTCGGGACCCCCCGCGCCCGCCGGCCGCGCATCCCGCGTGCACCCCGCCCCTGACAGCCTCCCGGGCGGGAGCAGCATTGTGCGCGGAGACAGGCGCCGGGCCCCGTCAACTTTCCGGGGAAGACGGCGGCCCCTGCCCAGCGCGCAGCGAGAGGTCAGCGGAGCGCGGAGAGGCGCCGCCGCGCTCGCAACTTGGCCGGCCTCTACTTTCCCTTTTGTCCTCCGCGCCCCGGCGCCCGGCGAGGCCCGAGCGGCGGCGGCGACGCGGACCCGCGGGCGGCGGGAGCCAGGGGCGCGCCGTCCGCCTCACCCGCGCCCCCCGCGGCCCCGCCGGCGCCCGCGCCCCGCACAAAGCGCGCCCGGGGGAGCGCGGGCCGGCTCCGGGGCCTCGGCCCGGCCTCGGCCTGAGGTGGCGGCGGCGGCGGCGGCGGGGGCGCAGGGCCCCGCCCGCCCCGCCGCCTCTCCGCCCGCCGCCTCTCCGCCGCCGCCCGCCCCGCACGGCTCCTCGCTCCCCACGCCGCCGCGGCCGCTGCCGCCCGCCACCCCCAAGCCGCCCGCTGCCGGCCCGCTCCTCACCTCGGCATCGGCGGCGGCCATGGCCCGGGCCCGCAGCGTGGCCCCGCCCCTCCCGCGCGCCATCGCCCCGCCCGCGCCTCGCGGCCCAGAGCCGGGGCGGGGCCGGCCGCCTGCGTCTGCGCTTGCGCCCGCGCCTGCGCCTGCGCGCTGGGGCACGGGCCGGGCGGCGCCTGCGCTCTCGAGGTGCTGGGCCGGCCCGCGCCTGCGCGCTGATCGCCGGGCCGGGCGGCGCCTGCGCACTGTGTGGGGGTGAGGGGAAACCCGGGCCGGGCGGCGCCTGCGCGTTGCGGCCCAGACTGGTGCCTGAGGCGGCGGGCGGCGTGTCGGGTTGTAGACCGCTCGGGGCCAGAGGGCAGGATGCGGTGGCCGGGAAGTCGTCTTTCCGTTCCGGACACGTACGCTGGAGCCCCTCCCCCTTGCCCGCGGCTTTGCGTCCCTTACGTTCAGTTACCCGCCATCCGAGAACGTTAAGTGCATAACTCCAGAAATAAGCGATGGCAGAGTTTTCAAGCCGGGGGCTCCCGGTTCCTGAGCCTAGCGGTTCTCGCGGCGGCGCCCCCCAGAAGCCGTCCAGGGCTCCCGGCAGGTGCAGAAGTGGACTTCTCCACTTAGTGAGGGGAGGAGGCTGCCGCGGCGGCTGGCGCCGCGGGCCGAGCGAGCCGTGCGTCCGCGAACTTGTGAGGAGAGAGCGGCGCCGGGGCCCCGGCACAGGGCCGATGCGCGCTGCGTTACCGCGGGGGCGGAGGGCCGGACGGAAAACGCGTTCCCGCGAGCGGCGGGAGGCCCCTGAGGACAGAGCCTCGAAAACGCGAGCGGCCCTGGGGAAGCTGCTGCCGCGTTTCCCGCAGGGCCGAGTGGACCCGGGAGAGAGCTCTTGCGGAAGACGTTGTCGAGATCTACAGAGGACGAGAGGGAAGAAACCGGGACAGAACCAGAAGCGGGGGCTTGACCAAAATGTGCAGGGCCGGCGAGCCCGGGGCGCCGGGGGGCCACCCCCTCGCGTGAGTCAAACACTGAGCAGCAGCTTCCGGCCTGGACCTGCGTCTGACGTGCAGCCTCCAGCCTGGTCAGCGCCCGATGCCCAGGTCACCCGAAGCCCTGAGGCTCCGCGCACTCGCCACACCTCGTCTCGCACAGGCACCGCTTGGTCTCGGTCACGCCGGGGTGAGTACGGAGCAGTAAGGACGCGAGAGGCAGGCCGCACGGCGCATTGGTGCAGTTGTTGGGCTTTATTATCGGTGTTAATCTCGTGCTATGCCTAATTTACAAGGTAAGGTTCGTCATCGGGAGGTTTTTTATAAGAAAAAAGAGCACTTAAAGGGTTCAGTGCTGACTGTGATTCCAGGCGTCCCCCGGGGTCTTGGAACCCTGCTGGCGTCCTGGGGAGCTGGCCAGGGTGAAGCACCCAAGGCTTGACCTCTCACCCCAAACACAGAAGGCAGACACCCTGAGATGTGTGCTGAGGGGCGCCCCAGTGGGAGGGTTTTCCTGCCGGGCTAGGAGGGAGCCGAGCGGGTGACAGGTACTCTCACGATGGGCACGTCCCGGCTGTGTGTGTGCTGGTTGGCGAAAGCGCTTCACCGTAGGGTGCCCTCCTGAATGGAGGGGCTGCTTCAGTTGGGGGCCAGCCCTTGCCTGTAGGGGATGGTGTCTGGCTGACTGCTGTGTGTCCTTCCCTCCCGGGCACATGCCTGAATCCCAGGCCCACACAGGACAAAGCCTACAGTCCAGCAGCCTTCGCTGGACAGTGTCCCCAGCACCACAAAAACTACTAGGCTCCCTGCTCCCTGAAGGGTGGATGCTTCACTGGGTGGAACTGAGGGCCCTGCCCATGAGGGCGCAGTCTCACTGGGAGGCAGGAAAAATCTCTCTGCCAATTCTGAAATTGGCACACAGATCTGTTCTGGCACACAGATCCTAAGAGAGAAGAGTGGACAACTTCAATGCCAAGCAAACCATTCCAGTTTTCTTTAGGACAGCAATTGCTTTGTGGAGGCCTAACCCAGCTGTGAAGAGGCTGGGACCCTGAGCCCCACCAGGAGGTACAGTGGCCCTTCCACATTCACCTCCATCTCTCCCCTGCCTTGAGACCTCATCTGTCCCTTCTTAGGATATCTGCAGGGGCCGGCATTGCAGCACTGCATGTTAAACTGTCACCGCCTACAAGGCCAGCATCCCATATGGGCACTGGGGTTTGAATCCCAGCTGCTCCACTTCTGGTCCATCTTCCTGCGAATGTGTCTGGGAAAGCAGCAGAGGATGGCCCAAGTGTTTGGGCTCCTGCACCCATGTGAGAGCCTAAGATGAAGCTCCTGGCTCCAGCCTGGCCCAGCCCTGTTTTGTGGCCACGTGGGGAGTGAACCAGCAGATGGATGAACTTTCTGTCCCACCTTCTCTGTAACTTTGCCTTTCAAATAAATACCACTTTAAAAAAAAAAAAAAAAAGCTGCCTGCATGGCTCACTTCTTACAGTGCTTGGGTCTTAAGTAGTGCCTGCTCAGGGTCATTTCCTTTCTCTGGTTAAAGATGCTGCTGCCCCCCACCCCACTGCCCTTACTCATCTTCCTTGCTCTGCTCCACAGCATTATAACCACTGGCACGCCCACCGCCTCACTGACCATGTCATCTCTGATACAGAAACCTCCACTTCATGTGCCCTTGTGCCTAGAACGACACCTGGCATACAGGGGACAAAATATTTGTTGGGTGAATAAGTGAAAACAAAAAAAATCCTTTGCCAGGCATTGTCCATAAATGAATGTGTCAGAACTAGGCTACAGAGGGCCAGTGTTGTGGCTCAGTGGGCTCAGCTTCCACCTGCAGTGCCGGCTTCCCATAAGAGCACTGGTTCAAGTCCTGGCCACTCTACTTCCTGCTAATGCACCTGGGAAGGCAGCAGAAGATGGCCAGAGCGCTTGGGCTCCCTGCACTCTCCCACGGGAGACCTGGCTTTGGCTTGGCCCAGCCCTAGCTGTTGTGGCCATTTGGACGGAAGATCTGTCTACCTCTCTATATAACTTGCCTTTTAAATAAATAAATAAAAGTCTACAGGTAGCCCTTTCACTACAGTGTGCACGGTCAGTCAGACCCACCCTACCCTCATGTGGCCGCTCAGCACTCACTTTGTCTGCCACTGCTCTCAGCAGGTGACAGTTCTGCGAGGCAGGCTCTGCTCTGTCCACATCTTCTAAATGAATGAACTGAAGCAAGTTCACGCAGCTGGCAAGAGACAGGTGGGCTTCCCTTCCAGCTGTGAGGCCACACTGCCTCCAGCAGGTGTTCTACAGATTTTCCCAGCTGAGCCTACTTGTCTCCAGTGCCCACCTTCCCCTTGTTACACACATAGCCAAGTGTGAGATGGGTACATGGATGGCCAGAGGGTGTGTGTCCTTCAGACAGTGAGAGTGCAGGCCCAGCAGACTGGGTGGTGGCAGAAACTGAACAGCTGCCCTAAGGTGGGAGTAACAGCTGGCCTGGCTCCCCCTGCCTCTGGACTGTGTGGAAATGAACTTTATGCTGTTGGAGGGTGGGTGAGGGCTGGAACACTCAACCTATCTCCTAATAGTCTGCAAGCTGTCTATCAGTAGATAAAGAAACCAGCACACCCTGTGCCAGAGCTGGAATTTGGACCCAGAGCCTCTTAACCACCTCTGGTACTTCCCACAGTGGAGCCAAGATGGCTGGCTGGGTGTTTTCCAGTCCTGCCCTAGGAGGTAGAATGTCTCCTGGCTACCCCTCTGGGAAACCTTGCTCTACAGACCCCTGCTCTCTTGGGTTCTGAACAACAGGCCTTCCAAGTGTAAGAGATGTGGGGAGAAAGCTTGTGAACCGAGAGTAAAGAATCCATGGGTGGCAGGTTCCTGGAGAGACCACGCCAGCAAGCAGGCCAAGACGTGCATCGCTGGGGCAAGCACAGCTTCTCCGAGTGCCGCGGGCGCCTTAAAAGAGCAAGGGGCTCATCCTGCAGCAGGCCTAGGGAAAGGAACCCACACGCAGCTCCCCCAGTGCAAGGGGGCCTGGGAGGTGTCAAGATGCGGGCACAGAGCTGCGTCTCAAGAGGCTAGAGGGCACTGAGGCCGGCCTCATCCCAGCTCTACAGTAAAGCACTTTATTGCCAGTCCCTCAGGGTCCCAGGTCCCTGTGCCTGAGACACAGGAAAGCAGCGGGTGGGCTCTGTCGGTGAGGGAGACTGGTCCTCAGGGGAAGAAGGGCCAGGCAGAGGGCAAAGGCACAAGGCCCTGGGCTCCCCGTCCCAGGGCAGAGACCAGGAGGCCAGGAGAAGGCAGCATGGAGGTCAGCTCCCAGGGGTCACACCGGAGTCAGCACCACCACAGCTCTGCTCATAGGATGGCGGGGCCTCTGTGGGGAAAGAGCAGGTGTGCATAGGCTCATGCTGCCCCCTCACTCCCCACCAGGACCCAGCCCCTGCACTTACCATAGGGGTAGCCCCATGAGCTGTACTCCGGGGGGAGGATCAAGGTGCTGGTGGTAGGCACTGGCCCCCCAGAGCCCTCTGCGAAATAGGGGACAGTGGCACCTGTGGAGATGCACAAGGCCGGGGGTGGGGCATGGGGGCCAGGGCTGCCATCTTGAGCACCGGGCTCGGGGACACCAGGTACAGAGCCTAAGGTGGCTTGAGTTGGCCCCTGCTGCGAGTGGCTCTGTGTGGAGAGGCAGACTGGGTCTAAGAAATGGGGACTGCCAGCCAGGGCCTCAGCTTCCTCCTGGGGTGGTGCAGAGGGTACCACTGGGGATGAGGCCCCGGGACACAGCCCTAGGCCTGGCTGGGGGCTCAGCATGGCGTGGTTCACAGCAATATTGCCGATGAAGACTGGGAGGGTCACTGTGGCTTCAGGTGCCTTCAGGGAAACCTGGAGAGGATGGGGGAGGGGGCGATGAGGAGCCAAGGCCAAGGCCACAGGCCTCAGGGCACCCGGCCCCACCAGCACAGAACCTGCAGGTAGTAGTCGATGTGGATGAGGCTGCAGCCTGGCAGGGCCGACTGGGGCAAGGCAGGCACCAGGATCTGCTCTTGCCACTGCGCCCGCCTCCAGGCCTTCACGCCCACACCCTCCACCTCCGCGATGGTCCGCACGTCGTAGATCCAGCGCTTGGCCTTATAGGACACTTTCTGGGGAGAGACTGGCCCGTGAGCCTGGACAGGCCAGAAACACTCCCCTCCACCCTTCCCAAAGGGCAGACCTGGGCAGCTGGAGCGGGGCCAAACCTGCAGCAGACTAGCCACCACGGGGCTGGTGTCCTTGCCCGACTGGTTCTCAATGTCAGCCTGTAGCCGCAGCACCTGCCCCACCACGTAGCCACGGAGGTCCGTGCTAGCCGTGAGCACCAGGCTGCCCGTCTTCACCAGCTTGTAGGAGAATTTCTTGGTGGTGGAGGCCACATTGGGTTGCTTGGGGGAGCAGGAGGAACTTAGCAAATGCAAGCAGGCTGGGTCCTGTGGCATCAGCACAGGCCCACCCAGCCCTGCCACAGCAGCAGTCAGCTTAGGACAAAGCCACCGCCGCCAGACGCTGCCACCCCAGCTCAGCTGGGAACAGAGCCACCAAGAAGGAGCTGCTGCTGCCCCCTCACCTCGATGTCTGGGATGCTGTTCAGGTTCAGGGGGCTCAGGATATAGAACACACGGCTGCACTTGTGATCCTTGGAAAAGCGAGGCGTCTCAATGGTGGCCCTCAACTGATGCACAATCTTTCCAAAAGGACCTTCAAAGGACGTGGGTGCTGTGGCTGGGGAGAGAGCAGGGACTGGCACCTGGTGGCTCCCACACCCACCAGACCCACTCTCCCAGGGACAGCTGTCCCCACCAGGCCTGTCCAGGCTGGGCTCTCACCAGGAAGCAGGAACTGAAAGGGGAAGCTGTGCTCTCCAGTGGGCAGGCTCCCTGCAGAGACAGGAGGGAGGTGGGGGCAGGCCTCAGGACAGGAGCAGCTGGGCTCACACCATGTCCCAGTGGCTCACTGCACGTGACGGGGTCACCCTGACTGTACCCCACCATTCACACTGCACCTGGCTGCCTGCTGGGTCTCTTGCCTGTCTCCAGCATCATGGCAGCATGGGCCATGGCCTGGCATGGACAGGAGCGTGGGGGAGGAGGAGCAGGTTAGAACAGGAGTCAGGGCCAACTCTGGCACCAGGAAAAGGTGCGCCCCCCCCCCCCCCGCAGCCCCTGACTGAGGCAATGCCACAGCGCCCGAAGGGACCCGTTGAGAGGGTGGGCTAGGGATCCAAGAAACAGACCTGGGGGGTTGGAGGGCAAACGGGCAGCCCTGGCGGCTCCTGCCTGGCTCCCAGACTTACCCTTGTCGGCCAGAGACAGAGAGCTGTGGAAGTAGCCCTCCTCCACCACCCAGGCAGCATCGTTGGCCTTGCCGGAGACTCCACAGGAGCCTGTGCAGGTCACCCGGATGGCTGCAGAGGGGAGGCTCTGTGAGCCACAGTCCCTCGCCTCCCCTGGCACAGGCTGCCCGGCGGGGCCAGCGACAGCAAGATTGCAGGGAACAGCTGGCCCTCCCCAAAGGCCCTGACGGGCAGTCCAGCTCCCAGCTTCCCACAGGACGCCCCTGGGTCACCCCTTTGATCCACCTTAGTGTGAGGCAAGGAGGCAGTCCCGCTTGCTCCAGGAAGCCAAGCACCAGCGCCAGCGCATGCTGCAGGAATGTGGTCAGACTCGCCCGAGCAGATACTCAACGGTCCCCTCCCCAGGAGTGTGCAGACCAGGAACCGTTCCTTCCTGTCCCCACCTTCCATGCCTCTGCCTACCAGACGTGCTATAGTCAGAAGGCCATGGCTGGACAACCAGGTCCAGCTGAAGCTGGCCACAAGGAGGGCAGACCTAAGCTGAGGTGTGGGGTGGCAGTCAGTGACTGGTCACCCTTGGGCTACACCACTCCTTTCCTAGCAGCTCTGGTCAAGGCCAAAGACTTCAGCCTCCTGACAGAGCTGTAAAGTGCCTCGGGGCTGACGTCAGCCATACCTGCCTCACCGCCTAGTCACCCACAGTCCAGGGGCTTCTCCCCCACCCCTTGGCTCTCCACACACATATCCTCTTCTGTGAGTGCTGCCAGGCTCCTGCCCCCCGCCCCCCGCCCGCCCGCCAGAGGGGTGTCCTTGCTTCCCACTCACTGGCTTCAACCTACATTTTAGCCTGGCCTCACTGCCCCGACCTCCTCCCTGACTCTGGCCTCTACCCTAGAAATCTGGAACACCAGCACACCACAAACCGACAGCCCTGGGGAAGGGGACTTACAGCACTGAGCTAACTAATCCTGGGGGCTAGAGATGGCTGCCTGCTACCAACACTCCCTCACAGAGCACAGAGCGGGGCCAAGGACACAATGCCAGAGTTCCCCTTGCCCACCACTGCTCAAACCCATCACCCACAGTGAGGTGTAACAAAATGGCTGTTTTTGCTGGTTAGCTTAGGGGTGGTCTGTGAACTTGGGGTGACTGTTCCATCGCAGCAGATAATCAGAACAGCTGTCCAACCTCCCCAGAAATCAGAAAACCCAGACAACTGCTGTTCTGACCCACCATACGGACAGGTATTCAGCCTCCTGAAGAGGTCTTCCCTGTGCCACCATGGCGTGGGCGAACGCTGGCCCTGGGGCCGTGTGGCAGCCGAGAGCCTTACACACCACGGCTGACAGCAGTCAAAAAGCCCACCACCCCGCTTGCACCCAGCCCCAGGATTTGGTCAAGGGAGCCCAGGGGCACCTGACCAGAAAAGCAGCCAGCACCTGGCCAGCAGACCCTCAGTCAGGCCCAAGGGGCCCAGGCTCTGTGACCCTCCCAACACCCTACAGAGGACCCACTGGAGCAAGCAGCCCCTGGCCACTGTGCAAAGGGAGCCCACCCCAGGTGACCCACCCACTCCTCAGCAGGTGGGTCACCATGGGGGCACAGGGCATACCGACAGCACACCTCAGCAGCACCCGGGAGCCAGGCAGAATTCCCAAGAGCCAGTTTTTACTGGTCCAGGCCAACAACAACCAGGCTCTGCCTTCTCAAACCATGGGCTCTGGCAGGGTCACAGGATGTACTTATGCCCAAAGGAGAGCGAGGGAGGTGCCCCCGGGCAGAGAACAGGGGTCTCTCCCTCATGCTCTCCCACCTCGCAGATTGCTCCGTGATGGCGGCACAGACCGGAGAGAAGTGACCAAGCGACTTTGGTGGTCACTTCACCAAGACCTCAACTTCCTCCACCAGAGCTGCTTTTTGGGAGTCACCGTGTCAGGTGTTGGCTCCCGGGGCAGGCTTGGTGCTCACACCAGCGCACGCCCGGCTGTGTTCTGCCCGCACAGGTGTCAGGCTGCAGAGCCAAGCCCGTGGACCCAGCCCATGCCGTGCACAACCGACAGGCATCGGTTGTTGGGGGCTTGGGGCTGCTCTGCTTCTCCAGACAAAACCCTGATGGGGGTTGTGTCCCACAGTGCTTCTAGGACTCTCCTCACACACCAGTGCTTCCTGTTGTCTAGCAGCCTTATCCCTCGCACCTCCCACATTCGTCATCCAGGTCCCTAAGGCCAGGCACCGGTGCCACTCTGCCGGCTCCCACAAGCCAGGGGCAGCCCCGCCTGGCAGCTCCCACCCTGTGGGGGCAGCCCTGTCTGAGCATACTGTGGCCCCCGGGGCTGCCTCCTCTGTGTCCCACCTTCAGACCTGTTCCAGGACAGCAGTGACAGTGCCCACCTCCCAGGGTGCCCTGGGGCATTGACGGAGCTGGTGCTGGGAGAGCGCGTCGGGCCCATGACAGCTCCGAGGCTGCTGTCCTCAGTGTTGCCCCAGCCAGCGCAGCCCTGCCTGACCCCAGCCCTGGGCTGGAGAGGACCTAGGCTGTCTCCATAACTCAGGGCAGCCAGTGTCCCTGTGGCTAGATACCAACCATCCCTACTGCTCAGGGACATGCACCTGTGAGAGACAGGGAGCCCAGGGCAGGCTTGCCGCTTCACTGGCTACTAGCAGAGCCCAACAACAATCTCTTGAATGAGAAAAAAAGCACCAAGGTACTTCCTCTCTGTCCCAGGCAGGGCTGGAGAAAGTCCGTGTGCATTCATCAACACTCACACCCCAAGCCACCGGCACCCCCTGCCCCAAGGCCCTCCTGCTCCCAGACCATGAACCCACCCTGCCTCCCCCACTCAGAACCAGGGCCATCTCAGGACCACCCGCTGGGGCTGCTTCACCACTCCCACCTGCCAGGCAGAGGCCAGTCAGGCACAGCTCAGGTGACAACAGATGAGCCAGGTAGCCAGCTCTGCGGCATCCCTGGCCATGTGGACGGGGCCTGGGTCTCTCCCACCCCTGCTTGGGTCCCAGGGGAGTGCACCCCATCTCTGCCGTGTGCCCTGTCATAGCCACACCTACGACCACCCCAACTCCCAAGTGGGGACACAGGGGTCATCACCAAGAGGCCTAGCAAGGCTGGGGCCTGGGGTCGGGGGTCCTGAAAGGGGCCATCAGCTCTCCACCTTCAACAGGCACCAGAGGTGGGGTGGTCACGCCCCAAAGAGGAGTTGCGGTCTTGGCCAAGCAGACCAGGGGGACTGAAGCCAAGGTGGAGAGACACTGTCCCACCCACACACCCGGCCAGGGCCCAGGCCTGCCCAACATGCCCTGGAGGTCCAAAACACCAAGTCCCACCTCTGTGCCAGCCCTGTCCACCACAGGCAGCCACACCTCCACAGGCAGATGACGGCCTGAGCCTGCCATGGCGGCGCAGCAACCTGATCGCTTGCTGTCTGCATCACCGGCGCAGGCTCGGCTCCCAGGTGCTCACTGGGCAGGGCAAGAGATGGCCAGGAAGCCTTAGGCAGGGAGCAAGCAGCTGTCCCCAGGGGGACCTGCACCTTCCCACGGGCCAGGAGCCCGGGGCGGGGGCTGGAAAGGGGCCCGGCGCAAATCAGGTTCAGATGAGCGCCCGGCAGGTGCGCGCACGGAGAAGCCTGGACACCTGGCCAGGAAAGGTCGGAGGCCTCCGTGTGTCCACAGTCAGCGTGGCCTCAGCAGGGTGGACAGGCGCTAGGCCCCCCGCCGCGGGCTCGGCCCGCCCTAGGCGGCGAGGGCAGGAAGAGGCAGATGCGGAAGGACTCGGCCGCCCCGCCGCGCTGGGTCTACAGCCCCCCTCGGCTTACCGGCCGCTGGAGGGTCCAGGTGCCCCGCCCCGCAGCCCAGGCCCTGCGCCCCGCGGGACCCCGCCGCCTCTCCGCCCGACCCCCTCCCGCCGCAGGTGCGGCCCTCCCCGGGGAGCCCGCGCCCACCTCGGAAGGGCAGCGGCGCCGCCAAGCGCACCCGCACGGTCCCGGTCAGCGGTTCCCCCGGGCCGTAGACGGCTCGGCCGTGGCTCAGGCAGATCTCGAAGAGCTGCACCCGCCCCATGCCGCGGCCCCGCGCGCCGCTCACTGACGCCGGCAGCCCGGGCCCGCAGACCCGCCCGGCCCCGGCCCTGGCCCGCCCCCGGCCCGCCCCTTCCCCCGATCCGCACCCCCCACCCCGCCCCGGCCCCCCGGGGACCGAGGCGCGGGCGCCCCCTGCTGCCCCGGGGGGCCGGGGCGGCTCACCTGCCAGGCCGGGCGGGGCCGTAGGCCGGGCCGGGGAGCGCCCCCTCCCCAGCTCTCTGCACCGGAAGGGACCTCGGCTGGGAACGCCTTCCCCCACACCCACCCCCGGCGCTCAGATGTGGGCGGGCTCCGCCCTGTCTGGGGTCCCCCACCCGGCTCCACCACACGGAAGGACGTCACGAGGGGCCCCGCACCGCCCCGGGTCCCGGGGTGCGGCTGTCTGGGCGGAGGCCGGGCCAGAGATGCGGGCGGGCAGGCCGGGAGCGAAGTCTCCGTCTCCAGATGCCCTTACAGGTCCCTTAGTGGAGAGGCCCAAGCGCAGACCCGAAGCCTCTTTCGCGGTCCCGCAGTGCCCGGGACCCCTCGGGCGGCCAGCGAGGTCAGTGTCTCCGGCTCGCTCCCCACCAGGCTGTTTTCCACTCAGTCCGCGCTGTGCCGAGGTGCACCTGCCGGCGAGTACTGGCCCCAGAGACGTCTCAGTGCCGGAACCCTTGGTGAAGGGAGCGGCATTTGTTTGTTTACTTGAAAGGCAGTGACAGAGACAACTTCCATCCAGTCCACTCCCCAGATGCCTACAGCTGCCCGGGCTGGGCCAGGCTGAAGCCAGGAGTCTGGACCGCATCTGGGTCTCCCTTGTGGGCGGCAGGGCCAAAGCGCCTGGGCCATCTGCTGCTGCTTCCCAGGCGCATTAGCCCGAAGCTGGATTGGAGGTGGAGGTGGGACTCCGGTCCCAAGCACTCTGATAGATACGGAATGCAGGCATTCCAAGCAGAGGCCTAACCCCGGCTGCAGAAGACTAGCCCCAGTCCACAGGGACTCGAGGGACCAGGGACTGCCTTGCTGGGGTTTGCAGATGGTCACAGGAGTTGGGGCTCGGTGACCACCAAGGTCAGCAGGTGAAACAGAAATCTAATCAGGTGCTCTCCAGCCAAAGGTGGAGACCTCGGGCTGGGGACAGGAGGGCTCCAGGGAGTTCTGGGGACCAGCAGGACACTGCTGCAAGAGGTGCACCCCTGGTACCCCTGGCTCCCCTGGCACCCTCAGGTCTCTCACGTCCCAGGAGGGAGGGCCTAAGTGACCTGCTCGAGACAATTTGCTGCCAAGACTGTGGTCAGGGACCCCTGAGTGGGCAGTCCCATAATGCCCAGCGTCTGAGTGGGAGGGAAGGGCATTGGGCACAATGGTTATGCTGCCACTTGGGACTCCCGCATCCCCTACTGGAGCGCGTGGATCAAGTCCCAGCTACTCCACTTCCTGCTAATGCATCCCAGGAGACAGCAGATGATGGTGCAAGAACTTGGGCCTCCCGGCGCCGCGGCTCACTAGGCTAATCCTCCACCTAGTGGAGCCGGCACACCGGGTTCTAGTCCCGGTCGGGGCGCTGGATTCTGTCCCGGTTGCCCCTCTTCCAGGCCAGCTCTCTGCTGTGGTCCGGGAGTGCAGTGGAGGATGGCCCAGGTGCTTGGGCCCTGCACCCCATGGGAGACCAGGAGAAGCACCTGGCTCCTGGCTTCAGATCAGCGCAGCACGCCAGCCGTGGTGGCCATTGGAGGGTGAACCAATGGCAAAAGGAAGACCTTTCTCTCTCTTTCTCTCTCTCACTATCCACTCTGCCTGTCAAAAAAAAAAAAAAAAAAAAAAAAGCACTTGGGCCTTGCCACTCATGTGGGAGACCCAGATGGAGTTTGGGCTCCTGGCTTCAGCCTGCCCCAGCCCTGACAGTTGCGGGAATTTGGGGAGCGAGCCAGTGGATGGAAGATCTCTCTTCTCTCTCTCTCTCTCTCTCTCTCTCTCTCTCTCTCTCTCTCTTTCTCCCACACCCACACATACACCTTTTAAGTACATGAAAATGAACATAGACATAACAGATACATATTATTTGTAAAGAAAGTGGGGGATGGGTCGTGTTAGATGTTGCTGAGAGGAAACACGATGATGAGGGGAAACTTGCCTTCATCCCAGGCCCCACAGCGTAATCCTTTGCAGCTCTACATATCCCATCATCAGCTGGGGCTGAGCCAAGCTGAAGCCAGAAGCCTGGAGCTCCACCTGTCTCCCACGTGGGTGCAGGGGCCCAAGCACTCGGACTCTTCTGCTGCCTCCCAGGCATACAGCAGGGAGCTGGAACAAAAGCAGAGCAGTGGGACTGATATGGGCTGTTGACATCACAGGCAGCCACTTTTTTTGAACAATTTATGTTTTATTTTAAAGGCAGAGCGACATAAAGGGAGAGACAGAGATCTTGCATCCACTGGTTCACTCCCATCAGGCCAAAACAGCCAGGTCTGGGCCAGACCAAAGCCAGGAACTCCCTCCTGGTCTCCCAACATGGGTGGCAGGGGTCCAAGTATTTGGACCGTCTTCTGCTGCCTTCCCAGGCACGTAAGCAGGAAGCTGGCCCAGAAGTAGAGCAGCCGGGACGGGATCCTGCACTGCAATACAGGATGCAGCCATCACAAGCGACAGCTTATCCTGCTGCCCCACAACGCCTGAACATCTCAAGGTCATTGTCTCAGCACCGACTTGCATCCCACAAAGCGGAGCCGTCTCCTCGGGTTTGTGGTGTAGCTTCTGATGATGTCACCTATAATCTCACTTACGGAACATTCACAAAGGCTTTGAAACTTTCACTTATTTGAGAAGCACAGAGGGGAGGGGGAGGGCTCATGCAGTGGGCGTTAGACACAGTGAATTAAGATGCTGGCGCTGTGGGCTGAAGCACCACTTGATGCCCGCATCCTGTACCAGAGTGCTGGTTGAGGACCTGCCACTCTGCTTCTGATCCAGCTTCCTGATGGGCACCCTGAGAGGCAGTGGATGACGGCTCAGGTTCTTGGGCCCCTGCCACTTACATGGGAGACTTGGATGGAGTTCCAGGTCCCTGGCTTCAGCCTGGCCTGCACCTGGCTGTTGCAGGTATTTGGAGAGTGGATGGGTGGATAGATCTCTCTCTCTCCCTCTGTGTGTTTCTGCCTCAAGTAAATACACTTAAAAAAAAAAAAAAAAGATTTTATTTATATGAGAGGTAGAGTTACAGAAGTGAGAGGGAGAAACAGAGAGAAAGGTCTTCCATCTTCTGGTTCACTCCCCAAATGGCTGCAATGGCCGGAGCTGAGCCAATCTGAAGCCAGGAGCCAGAAGCTTCTTCTGGGTCTCCCATGCAGGTGTAGGGGCCCAAGTGCTTAGGCCATCTTCCACTGCTTTCCCAGGCCGTAGCAGAGAGCTGGATCGGAAGAGGAGCAGCCGGGATTCGAACCAGCTTCCATTTGGGATGCCGACACCACAGGCAGAGGATTAACCTATTGCACCACAGCACTGGCCCCAGATACATTTTTAAAAACATTTTGTTTTAAATACATTGAAACACTTGCATCCTGTATTAGCGTGTCAGAGTGTCTGGGTTCAAGTCCTGGCTGCGGTTCCAATTCCTACTACAGTGCACCCTGGGGAGACAGTGATGATGGCCCACGTGCTTGGGTCCATACCACCTATGTGGGAGACCCAGATGGAGTTCTGGGCTCCCAGCTTCAGCCTGACCCAGCCCTTGCTGTTGCCAGTATTTGGGGCGTGAACCAGCATATGGAATCTCTTTCAAAATGAAATGAAAATGAAAATTCTAAGATAGAGACATCAGCATGCTCCTGTCCCCTAGCTCACTTTACAAATGCGTGCAACCACCAGGCCTAGGGTGGAGTGACAGCCCTGGAATATAATCTTGGTCTCCCGTACAGGTGGCAGGAACCCAACTACTTGAGCCTTCACCACTGCCTCCCAAGGTTTGCAAGAAACAGAGTCAGAGCGGCCGGCGCCGTGGCTCACTAGGCTAATCCTCCACCTAGCGGCGCCGGCACACCGGGTTCTAGTCCCGGTCGGGGTGCCGGATTCTGTCCCGGTTGCCCCTCTTCCAGGCCAGCTCTCTGCTGTGGCCAGGGAGTGCAGTGGAGGATGGCCCAGGTGCTTGGGCCCTGCACCCCATGGGAGACCAGGAGAAGCACCTGGCTCCTGCCATCGGATCAGCGCGGTGCGCCGGCCGCAGCACGTCGGCCGCGGCGGGCATTGGAGGGTGAACCAACGGCAAAAGGAAGACCTTTCTCTTTGTTTCTCTCTCTCTCACTGTCCACTCTGCCTGTCAAAAAAAAAAAAAAAAAAAAGAAAGAAAGAAAGAAACAGAGTCAGGAGCTGGAGCTGGGAATCAGACCCAGACACTCCGGTGTGGGGTGTGGCCACGTGTCTGCTCCCCATTGAGGCTTTCTTGGTTTAATTCAGGCCATCTTCTGCTGCCTTCCCAGGGCCTTTAGCAGAGAGCTAGATCAGAAATTGAGCATTCGGGACTTGAAATGGTGCTCGTGTGGGATGCTGCATCACAGGTGGTGGCTTACCCCACTGTGCTACAACACTGCCCCCGGCCCCCGGTAAGGTGTGTACGAGAGTAGAAGGCACAGAGTGCAAAATAAGAGTGGAATCTGGGCCTCCAACTTGCCGTGGGTAAGACGCAAAGACGAGCCTGTTCCCACAGAGCAGGCGACTCTTCGCGCACAGCCCAGAGGGCAAAACAAGCACCGCAGCCAGAGGCAGATTAGGGACCCACCTGCAGGGGGCACGCAGGGCAGTGGGTGGACCAGTGACTACGGCTGCCCTCGTGTGTTCTCGGTGGGAGCGTCTGTTATCCTGGGTTTTGCCACTGGGAGTTGGTGTGGGGCAGGCCTCACCACAGGGGCCCTTTCCACATCTGTACCTGTTGCAGTCTCCAGGAACCAGACCTGCAGCTAACGCCTGCACGAGGTGCCCGTTTTGCAGATCTTAGGCAGGAGTGAGTGTAATTCCACGTGGGAAGAACGTGGCA